GAGACGTGCAGAGTAAAATCTTGAAAAACCCAGGATGCCTAGGGAGGACAAACCACAAGATCTGAATATGAAATAGCAGACTGTGGTTTTTCAGAACAAAACACCCCTCCCTCAAAAGAGCCTGTGAGTAAAGTTACTGAGTGAGAAGACAGAGAAAATTGGGATTGGCCTATGAATGATTCAGTAACTCAAAAAGGGATGCCCACACGTCACTATTTGTGCCACTAGCTCCTCGTGCTTGGAGCTGGTGATTTATTTAACAGTTCACCTCATTTTTAGGTACAATGTTTCAGAAAAAAGAAGATCAAGACCATGAATGTAGGGGTTCAGGAGCCAAAGGCAAATAGACCTGATTTGAATCATATTACTCAAACCCCCACCAAATTCCCAAAACCCAAACGCAAATCCCAACTCCTGACTTTTAAAGCAACCCAAATGTTGCTACCTTAGCCTTACATTTAGCCTCCTTTTTCTTTCTTTATATGCAACAACTTTTGCCTTCTGTTTAGTTTGCAGATTTGTGATCTGTCCCCCAAGGCTTTTTTTTTACCTTTACATATCTCTCACCCATTATTGACCCGCTTCAGTTCACCTTTTCCTTGGCTATGAAGCAGTGATTTTATTTAACTAGCATTGAATTTCATGCTGCTGTTTGCAGCCTATGGCCTGAAGACCTCAGACCATTCTGGAGTTTGTGATTCCACCTGCCTTCTCTGATTTTGAAATTACCAGCCATTTCGAACTGAATACAAACCCGTCTTGAGATTGCTGATAAAATGAGCTAATGAAATAGGCCCAAATGCTAAACCCTCTTGAGATTGTTTCTCATGTGTAAAATCAATATTAATGATCACTCCCTGTTTCCTCCTAACCATTCAGCTGCTCCAGGCTTAATAGTTTTTGAAAGAATTAACCTTGTATTAATTGCAGAACTAGCAATAAGTAACCCAATTAGCTACTTTATAATACTCCTACATTCTAGTTAGCAGCTCTTCCTCTTAAGGTGAGTGACAGATAATTTTGGAGTGATTAATTCATGCAGACCTTTAAGGCAAAATGTGATTAACGGGTGTGCACTGGTTTTGCATTTGGGCAGCAAACAAGGAAGGTTTTGCTCCAGATGAAGTTAATAGCAAGGCACTCCTTTGACATGAGAAGAGCATTACTTCTTCAGGGCTTGGTACATTTTCAAAAAGTACAAGCTAATTATTTAAAATACTTCTCCAAGTTGCCAATAAAAAAAAAAACCCTCGTCATCAACTTTCTGCAGAAAGGCACCCCACCCCCATCTCCACCATTCTTCACGTTACTTCAGTGTGGTGGATGAGCTCTTCTCCAAACACTTGGCCCTCGTTCAGATCTGTCATGATCCGGCAGAGACTGTGGAAAATTAGATTAGCTTCTCATGCTCCTTGCTGTTCCGACCCTGATGAAAGTGTGCAAGCATCAGGAGCTGATCTCCTTGGAAAGAGGGGGAAGGGGAGAGGAAGGGATAAATACGAGTTAAATAGTGTGCTCCCTGCAGCAGACACCTATACACATATTGGTATCACCAACACTGACAAATGGCTTTGTTGAAAAATCAACACTCATCTTTCTGGTACCAGTGATCCATATGGTGATTTTTTTTGAATAGCAATAAACTGCTGGTGCTAGGTGTTCAGCCCAGCAGAGCAGGAACGGTGGCTGAGGAAGAAAGCCCACCTCCGCTCCCGTTGTCAGCAAAGGGCTGCGCTTTCTGCAGCTTCCCCGCGGCGGCTCTACAGATGCATGCTCTCCAGCCATAATGTCCTGCTGGCTGATCAGATTGTTCTTGCATTTCATTTTAGAGACAGCACCTTTTTCTAGTATGCTCAGCATTTATGGGGCGTTAACCATGGTACCACAATTCTTACCCTACTGACTAGGACCATACCTTGTAGATAAGGATGCAGTCAGTAGCCTAATACCTGTTCCTGACTTCAAGCTTGCTAAATTGCTTTCATAGAATAGTAATTTTGAAAGAAACTAAGGCAATCAAGAATTAGATCTTTATATAATGACATTAAGAAAAATAAGATTTCAGCCTTCCAGTACATTTTGATTCATGCCTCTTTCTCCAGAAGAAAAGAGCACAAGCGCAGGCCACAAAGACTCCACTTTGGCCAAAGTAAATGCAGTGTATTTTCTGCTGGTAAAGGCCTAACCTAACAGCTACTCTAATCAGTAGACATATCTCCCAGCTCTCATCAGCTTTGCATTAGGCCCTGAGAGGGTAACATGTGCTTTGATTCATTTAAAACTTCAGTCATGTAAATTTGGACTCTGTTCTTGCTAAGTCAATGCCAAGTCCCCACTGACCTCAGTGTGGACAGAAAGAGAATTCATTATTAATGTTTATCTGGGGAGAATAGATTATTAAACAGATACCTACCTGTACCCTTGTCATGAAATCCTGACTCATAATCTTATAAATAACTTTTTCAAATAGGATATGACAAAAAAGCAAATGGCTTTGGAAAAAATCAGTCTTCAGAAATGTCTACTGTATTTTGAGAGTATTCATGGACAACCTGTAAGTATACCATGGAAAGATAGGTAAATTAAAAATTATCTAACTTCTCTTTACAACTATTTTTGGACTCATGTATTAAATATATTTAGATGAATTTTACATGATTAACGGAATTTTAGTTATTTCAAACTAATCCTCAGGTATAAATATTATTGCCTGATACTGACAAATTTGGTTTATATTTTTAAAAATAAACCAAAAAGGTAAGTTTTGAGTGGCCCTGCATCTCTCCTCATGATTGGAGGTTGCAGGTTTTGATGATAAAGCTGGAGAATTCTATATCCCCAGCAGACTCAGCACATGCATACCGTAGTGGAGCTATGGCCTATGGAAGGTTAGAAAGCTTAGCAGCTGAGGAGGCTTTATAGGGCTTAAGGTTTATCTGAGATGTGAAACACAAACATGATGTGATCAGTCATGTGTGTTTTCCTTTATTTCACAGCAGCGTTTATTAATTAAAATCCTTTCAAGGGACATCACTGCTGGATGTAGGTACAAAACAAAAAATTGCCACCATTGATGAGATGATGATTTGAAAATCTGTCTACACACAACTGAGGAATGCCTGTTTGATGTCTATGTCTGTACTCTTATGACTGTCTCTTGTTTCTGGCTAGTACCTGTTGGGATAGAGGAAAAGGGGAGTGGCATCAGCACATGTCCAAAAATGTGCCAGATCTTAAAATTATTATGATCTGAATCTGATATCTCTGCGTCTTGGATAAAATAATTTTTGTTCATCTTCTTGGGGCTTGGAATGAGAACTGAGGTATGGAGAGAAGATATAGGAAGGGTATGAAGAAATTTTATTTCCTAAGAAGGAGAACAAAAAAGAAATTGAGTTACTAGTGAGATACACAAGAGACTTGAGGATTCAATGATAGAAAAGAGAATAATAAGGCGTGCTTTGACGCACGGGGTTCAGGGAAGGTGTTTCTTCTCAGAGTTGAAGCAGCTCTGTAAGCAGCCAAGAAAGAGGATGCTAACTGCATAAGGAAAGGGTGACCAGTGACACTAAGCAGCCACGAGGAACCCTAGGTCTGCCAAACAGCTCTGACTTCAGGTCACAGGAAGCTCAGGGAGAGTCAAGAATATGGAGGGAAATGGAAGTCAGGCAAGATTTTTACAGCTTTTTTTTTTGTTGTGGAACATAAACATGCAGTCTGGAGATGCTTCACACAGTTACAGTCGCATACTTAAATAATTGTGTATCTCAGAGAAGCAAATTTTAATTGCTGTAGCCATATCAGTGTATTTTCCTGAGGGGATGGGGGGGAAGAGTCTGCATGCCTCCTGGGCACCAAGAAGAGCTGGTGAGCGAGGCCAGCAAGGCCCAAGCGCAGTGGCAAGCACAGCCTCGGTGCCCAGGAGAGAGAGATTTGCTGATCATCAACCTGCATTTGTCTACTGTCACCCTTGCTCCTGACGACCAGGTTATTTGTCTGTTTCTGAGCACCTCTGGACTACTGTCCATATTGTTAGCCGGCCTGTGCCGCCTCAAACCTGCCGTCTGCCCGTCCACCTGAGCGTCTGTAGCTGGGCTCCAGCGCAGAAGCGCAGTCGCAGTGCCAAAAGAGAGTGAAACTGTACCCAGCAGGTGCTGGTAGCCATGTCAGTCGAGGAGCAGAGGCTGATGGTGGACTAGTTTGCAAATGACTCTGTTTTGATATCTAAGCACTGAGGAACATGTTGTTTTTTCCGGTTTGGGTTTGTTTTTTTTTTTCTTGTGGGATTTGCTCTTCTTTTACTTAACCCAGTAAGTCGGTCTACCGCACAGCTAGTTTCCATGAGGTTTATTTTTGCATTTACAAATATTTGTGTCTGGATCAGGCTCTTAATACCTGATCTAAAATAATATTCCCCTCCAAATCAATGCTTCTAGTGCCCGTAAAACAGCAAGAGAAAGCAAAATGACCAGTGGGTGAATCCCGAGTGCATCAGGCAGTTCCAGGGAGGGATGCACAGGGAATTCCGCACGGGGGCAGCTCACTCACCAAGGTGGTAAAGCTGTATTCTCCGTGCTCTCCATCCCACGGGGCCGCAGGGTATACGGGCCCAGGCTGCCTGTCGCCGTTATGACAGAGGAGGGAGGGAGGTATCAATGCAAGGCACAGAATGTGCATTTCTTAACTCTTACAACTCTATCAGCATCTTCAGCAAGAGACAGCGTAGTTTACCCTCTGCCCAGGCGGCGTGGCTCAAGGAAGCAAGGAATCCGCATTGGGTATTTTCCATTAGAAAATGGATTGTCATTTTCCTTTTTAGAAATTGTATGGATTACACTACAGTCCCCATGGCACATCTATGGAAGCAAAATACGCATCAGGTCGTACTCTTCTAATAACTTTCTCAGCTTTACAGGAGCAAATGAGAAATTTATTTATTTATTGTTGGTGGTTTGTTTTTTTATTTTGGAGGAGTACATTTTATTATGATTTCTCTTTAGGTAACTAAGCAAGAAAAGAGTCTCATGAAACCTCTTTACGATAGATACAGAATTATCAAGAAACTCCTCGCAACTCCATCTTTGATCACAACAATTGTAAGTTGGAAAGAATTCATATCCCTTGTCAAGAAAACATACTGACTGACTGCTGTGCTCGATTTGAATCTGCACATCAGTTTGGCTGCAATAGAACTACTGATATTTGGTTAATACAGGGTGTTGATATTTCAAATAGAGCAAATGCTCTGTAAAATCCAACTGCTAGGCATGCCAGAGCTCGTAACAATGTATGGCAGCAGTTCCTGAGGTAATCACTTCAAATGACTGGGTAAGGGATCAAAGGCTGGCATTAGTTTCATATTATGGCTAACGTATGCAACACAGAATGAACGCCATCGCTCTCCATGAAGCACTACACTGTCGCCGTATCTGTCTCCTATAGTTTGTTGACAATGCTTTTTTCAGTCATGTAGCACATCATAAGTATCATTTGTAGTACTGTTATTAATAATACATCAATGTAATGTAACAGTACTGGTCTCACTGTGAGTAGAGCTAGCAGAATCTGGCTATCTGGAAGTTAATTAGCATGTCTCTATCAAAAATACTAATCTAATAGTAATTGGGGCTGGGTTGATTTTAAAAACTACAAATTACTGTCATCAGATGCAGTGGAGCTTTAGATTTCTTTGAAAAATCCCGGTGCAAATCTTTGTACAAGTGCACATGGGTATTTTATTTAAAAATTTAACTGAAGTCCCCTTGTGTTACTTCTTAGGAGCTTTGCTTGGTAGAATTTTTGTGTTTACGGTTATTTTCAAAAGCTCAACTTCTCTTCTGAGAATGAAGGAACGTGAGGAAGACAGTGACATCACTCTGTTTTGGTAGTTAACAGTGGTAGCTATAAAACTGTGGAATCTCTACCCCCAACTCTTGTTACAGTCAGAATTCCTGGACATAATACAAACAATAGATGGTGTGTAAGAGGACAAGTTCCAGCAAGACTGCACTGCTTACATAAACACAGAATGGTCTTTAAATCTTTGCTACTTATAAAGGCTTCTGAGCAAACAGAAATGAATTGCTGGCTGCACACACACAGAAGCAGGGCCAACTTCCGTCCTGTTTGGTCATGGTGGATGATACCCAGTAACTCCCTGGGGCCCACGAGACCTCTCAGGAACAACCTCGGGTAGACCTGGGTAAAGCTTTCCATATGGGTAACCTAGTTCAATGAATACATGCAGGAAGTCAGATCCTAATTCTTTGTCATCCTATTTATTGTTAGTATTGTCTTGTAAACAGCTAATTTAATAATGCTTTATGTTTTACAAGCAGGAGGAGGAAGACTCAGATGAAGACCATTCTCAAAGCAGCCACGAGTTGTCATCCGGCCCAATGTCTTGCCTCCCTGTCGATGAGCACCTGTGTTACTCTCAGGAGGAGACCGAGCCTGCGTATGTTTCACCTCTGGATGAAAAGAAAGTTTTCAGGCAAACAGCCTTGTCTATGTCCAATTTACATGAGGCAACAATGTAAGTTCTGTCTTTTTTTAAAATTCTGTATGTTTTGAAATATTTTATGTAGATGTTGTAAGTGAAACATGTTCCATACCTATTGCATGGGAATATTCTATACCAAAGAAGTGATGCAATGTTTTCTCACAGCAGAAAAGAGGCAGAGGATAGTTGTTGTTTAGGCAGCATACCTGTGATTTGAGCTGCTTATTCAAACAACTTTGTGCCAAGTCCATGAAAAGAAAGGTGAAGGAACGTAAGCAGACAGATAGGAGAAATAACTACTTATACAGAGTGGTAGATACAATATAATGGCCTAGTAAAGATGTGCAGACCTATCTATAATTGCTGCAAAATTTTTAGATCCCTAACTGCTCACATTCTTACAAAGCAGTCAGTCATAAACCAAAGCACAGTTTGGCCAAGCAGGCCAGTCTGCTCCTGTGTGTGTACTGGGATTGACTCTGCGAGTGATGTAAAAATGCCGGAGACAGGAGGTGTACAAACAGCAGCAGGAGCGCTGAGGGAAGGATCATGCCCCACATGGTCACATGGGAGGCCACTGAATGTGTGTAAAACCAATTTCTTCCTTGTGTAAGAATAGTTACTGGTGTCTGGATGCCAAGAAAAGTCAACACCACCCTCCTAATCTCCATTCCAAAACCAAAATGAAGCCCCCCCCTGCTTCTGATTTGTAGTTAAGAATTTCAGGTTGCATGAGACAACACAGCTCAAGATGCACACAGGCTGTTCTCACTCAGCCCTGAAACTTGTTGCAGACCCTGCCTTCCAGGACAGACGTGTTCTCACAGCTTTTACGGGGTGGTATCTTTTCCTTGTGTTTTGTTTGGGAGCTCTTAGATGCATGAATGAAGTTGACTTGGCTCTACCAAAACAGAGAGTAAATAATAATGTCTTGTTTTTTCTATGCAACTCACAATATATGCAATAGTTTGCTCACAAATGCTATGAAGATATTGACGTGCATTTTGTTATTATGAAAAAAAAACCAAAACCCACCACCAGCTGCATATGCCCACCAGCTGCATATGCCATAACGGAAATCTTTCTCTGCTTAAAAATCTTATTCTCCAAATACCGGCTAAAACATGGCCTCAAAAAAAAAAAAACCAAAAAGTTGATTCTGGGTATGACTAGCATTTCCACTGCATCACAGTAATGTTTGGTACCAGCTACTTTTGGGACTAGGGCTTGGACGCTGACTTTATTAATTGTTACAGAAGCGCGAAGCATTTCCGGTGAGATGCTGAGCTCTGTCAGCTCCATTAATTCCTGGCAGAATTAAGATCACTTGCAAGACTCAAACCTGAAAGCTTTTCCTCCCGCATTGTCCAGAGTCGCTTGATTAGAAGAGCGCGAATACTAGTGAAAGGGAAGGAGCACAACCATCTATCGCATGTGGTGGCACAGCCATGGTTGGAGGGAATGTCTCGGGCACTGAGAGGCGTGCCTGCCATGGCCCGTAGCTGCAGGCTGCTTATTAACTGAGGCCACAGCTTTTACAAGACTTCCAAGCACATGGGGGTTTCATGTTCTTGTCTCTGTTTTACAGGCCCGTTCTGCTTGAACATCTCAGAGAAACAAGAGCAGATAAGAAAAGGCTTCGCAAAGCTCTGAGAGAGTTTGAGGAACAATTTTATAAACAGACAGGAAGGTAAATAACCAGCTCAACAACAGCCCGCTCCTGCTCCCCTTTGGGCTCCTATGCAGTGTTCATTTCTGCGAGGGTGGGTACCCTTGGGTGGGCAGGCCAAAGCAGCTGCAGCTGGGCACTGCGAGATACCATGGAGATGTCTGGTGTCTGTGAAAGATGCCCATGTCCTTGCTTAGCTCCTCTGGGACCTGGGCATCCCTGAGAAGGGTCTGGAGCTGGGGATCCCCCAGGGCATGCCTGCAATGGGGATAAACCCCGTTGCAGCACAGGATCTTTCCTGAGCTGAGGGGAGGCTGCTTACAGAGTCTTTCTGAAGATGCAAACCTGCAGGGATTACACTTGGCAGTGGGACCAGTTTTAAAAGGCCAGCTTTAAAAACCGAAGCTACTGTTTCTTTCACCCACAGATAGATAGTGGCTACTTCTCACCCTTTGTTTTTCCTCCTCCCTTCATCAAGCAAACTCATTTGCTGAAAACCCTGTAGTATTCTGGTAACAGTTTTCAAAGCACTATGTAATGAAGTCTCTGTGTGTTTGCAAATAATGAAGTAGTTATGCTTGCATAGCTGACAAGAAAGAAAATTACCTGGTATATGAAAGTTCAGTATTTTAAATACTGTTACTTAATTTCTGTCTATTAGAGCTTTTTGGTCCTGCCAAATTACTTTAATCACTTACAGTTAGTTAGGAGAAAAAAAACAAACCCACAACCTTCCAACCCAATCCTCATCAGTTGTTGCAGAATTAATTTTAAAGCCTGTTTCTCCTCTTACTCATAAAAGCGATGGCACTTTTTATTTGCGTTCTATAGGAGTCCTCAAAAGGAAGATCGGGTGCCAATGGCAGAGGAATACTCCGAATACAAGCACACAAAAGCCAAAATCAGGCTCTTGGAGGTTCTCATCAGTAAGCATGATATTTCCAAAACAATTTGAAGCGAATGCAATGCTGTGGTATTGTTCTCTAGCAAAAAAAACAAGAAAACAAACATGTTAATGAAAAAGAGGAAGTAATTTTACAGGTCTTGGTCTGCTGCACAATTATTTGACACACTGAGATTGCTGATGCACTTTACCACTTATACTAGCGGGGATGAGAGAGGACAGCAATATGCAAGAATGTTAAGCACGGGTGAGTGGACTGTAGTATGTATTTTTTCCTTTTGAAAAAGCCTTGAAGTGCACTGTGAGAATGTTAGAAATTAAAAGGACACTGAAGTATTGTAGATCCTCAGTTTGACCTGCTCTTAGTTTTAAACAGTGTGAGGAAATGCTCTCCAGGTTTTTAGTACATCTTAGTACACGATAATGTACCACACATTTCTTGCCAGCATTAACATGCACTATAATTAACTATTAATGTTGGTTCTCAATGTGCTGATTTGCTAGATTAAAAGAAACATGAGCTTAAAACAAATGAAGGAAAAAAACCTCATGACCGTACTCTATCTTTCAAGACAGAGTTGCCGTTCAATTCCAGTAGCTTCAAAGAAAGGTGCATACAAAGAACCAGTGCCAGGATTTGGTCTAAAATTCTGAGAGTAGAGCAAAGTGATGCTGCCTATGCAAAATAAAAAAAAAAAAAAAAAAAAAAAAAAAGGAGGACAGGACATGGCTGCCAAATGGAGCTGCTGTTTTTTTAGAAATAAGAGAAAGTCTTTGGCAAAATGAAATAATAGGTACAGTTTACTGGGAGGAGATAAAACAAAGGTACTGGCTGCTGTCCTTTCCACTATGAGTCACAGGACCTGGTCACGGTACTTAAAATTCAGTAAATAGAACAACTACATGCTAATTTTTATTTCTGTATTAAACTTTGCACTTTATTTTGCCTGACGCTATAACATTTGCTTTTCTAACTACCAAAGCTCGTTTAAACGCATGCACTTTGTAAAATGTCGAAGTATTTCTTGTGTTATAAATTGCCACATATATATATATATTAAAACAAGACTAGATTATTGCATTGTGCTAAGATATTTTGGATAGATAAAGTACATGGTATATAATTGAGTGTCGCAGTTATCTGATGAGGAACGCTAGACTTCTTGTTTACTAAAAATAAGATTATAAAAAAGATATTTTTCCATTGGAATTATGCATCTTTCTTAACTTTCAGAGCACCACACTTTGTAATATTACAGAGATTTTTTTTCACTGTTTGTGATAGAGCATTTGTGTGAGAAGACGACTCTTAGCAGAAGGATTATCAGTGGGTTTTGTACTAGAAATGAAAAAGCAGGGATTCTGGGAAATACCTAGCCCAGATATAAAGGAAAGAATAATAATTAAAAAAAAAGGACTTGACTTGAATAAGTTGAATCATGTTTAGTGTTTTGCTTTAACTGTCATTTTGTATCAACCACGCAGTATAAGGAACCTGTTTTCTATCTTGGTAAGAAGACTTTCATTTTATAAAGCCTATTATGTACCAACCATGTTTGTATTTATAGTGTGTGCAATGGCTCGGCATGATTTTGAAGACATACACATTTTCAAGTAGTTTGGAGGAAGAAGTATGTACACTGAAAAAGGAATTTTTTATTTCTCAGAGGTTTGTTGTTTCAATGTACTGACTTAATAATTTATAACTTAACTTTTATGAATCAGAAATGGTCTCCTTCGTAAATCTGTTTTAATTAAAGTCATCTAGAGCAACAGGAACAGATACAGAGCTATTTGAAGTTTACAAACTACATCTTTGATAAGGGAAAATGATTTCATGACATATGTATACAATTGATATTAAAATGTAATCTATATATTCTATATGATTGTATAATATTTTATACAACAGTACAAATAAAATATTTTTCTATTATATTTATTATGTCGAGACACAGTTTCTGTTTCCAGTTAGCTAATATAAATAACATAAATAACACTGTCAAACAACACGTTGGAAGTGCTGACATTTCTAGGCTCTGAGATTTAAATCATGCTGCAATTACAACCGTTCATGCTGTTTGGAGTTATCCCAGTATTTGTTCAGTAGTTAAAATGAATACATATTTAAACACCATTTATAAGCCGTTATCTTTGTTTTGCTAAAGCAGTTTATATAGGATTTTGTTATGTTTGGCAAGAAACAGAAAACAATTTTTGCAGCATCTAGGTATAAATGGTTGCCAGAAAGAAATCCAGGACTTCTAATCAT